TGGCAATTCTACAATCCATAGGAACTGGTACCCTGATTAGGACAGAGATGTCTGATTCCCCTTTTGGGTGAAGTTCCGCTTTAATGATTGGTACAGATTTAGGAAAAAAAAATGTCTTTCACTTTTACAAACAAAAAGTAATTGAAAAGAGTCTACAATAGGTAACAAACTAAATAAATGAGACATCTTCATAACAAAAAGCCAAAATAACAAGGCAGGCCCAAGCCAGATGCCAGAAGTCAGATTTTAAACTCTTACATGTGCGACATTATGATTGGGATAGATGGTTAATACTTTATAGTCTATGATGAGTGAGGTTGATAGTGTAATGAATTTAATTAGACATTTATTAGCCGCTGGGAAAGCAATATGATAGGATTTATGGCAGTGTCCCAGGGTTCCCATGTAAGCCTAACACACTGAGTTTAAAATGTTACATTAATTGAAGGATGCCGCTTGTGAACTATGTATAAGTGCATTGGCAAGTCGTAGAAAATACCTCTTAGTGTTCTGGAAATATTTTATGCAGTAGCAAGTTTTAGATTAAAAAGGTGACTTATAGTTAAACATCTACAGAACACCAATGTCAAAATTATATGTAATTGGGCAGATTTTAAGAAGGCTATTAAGTTATTACATCTGACATATTGTGCCGGTGGGAACTCAGAGGAAGATAAGTCATCCTGGGAAAGGAAAAATAAGTTATTGTAGCTGGCCTGCCAGCTAAAAGATAGAGATTTAGTAATGCTAGCCCAGCTAGGGCTGTTGAAGTATGTTCGGTTTACCTTTATCACAAATGGAGCCCCAGACAAACAATGATATATGACTTTGTAGGGCTTTAATAAAGGCTTTAGGTATTAGGGTCAAGGTGTGCTGAAGTGTATACAGAGGCTTAGATAGCAATATAATTTTAATTAAATTTATCCTGCTTATTACATTACGAGGGAGGTTTTGTCAAGCATGAAATTTAGTTTAACAAAAGCCATAAGCAATAATATATTAAGGTAGTGAAATATAACAAGGGGGGGGGGGGGGTTGTGTTATTAAAATACATAAATATTTAAAACAGATGATCGAGCAGAAAGGTGAATGTAAGAAATAATGCAGCTTTTGCAGTGGCTGAACAAAACTTGACTGATTTTTGCCATTTAATATAAAGGTTGGAAAGAGGATGAAATTGATCAATCAAGACTGATCAAAGTGAAAGAGTCTTGAAGAAAGTGCATGAGGTCATCATAATAGAATTCTATTTAATCTAGTCACCTGGTAGCAGATCTAAAGGTACCAAGTTGGATCCAGTTTTAAAGTGGTTCTAAACTGTAGACATTTTGTACTTCAATGTATTCTCTGCATTGTGAAAAATGCCCCGTTAACTGTTGCCCCCCAACACTAAACACTTACTTGACAACTCTCAGTGCTCTAGCGCCATGCCAGCTGAAGCCCTGCTCTCCTCTATTCCTGGTCCTCCAAAACTTATACTCACCTGTGGCAAGCAAAATATTTCTGACTACTACTAAGCAATACAGCCACTGGCCAAAATGTTTTTGACTCGGCCCCTTGATGCTCTTTTAATTCCCGTTCATCTTGTGAGCATGAGACATTCATTCATGTGGAGTTTCCAATTACAAGCTCATACTTGGAAGTTCAATAAGATACATAGGATACTGGATATAGGAAAAATGTTACAAACTGCTATGCCAGTCAGGTCAGGTAAGTATAAGGACTTGTTTACACTTGCTTCAAAATGTGGCATTTGACACACTTTTTAAAGCACTTTGAATGCCAATCAAAGCACCTCCCTTTAAATAAAGTGGATATCTTACAGTCTTGTATGTACTGTTGAGTTTGCTTTGTTTTGCTTCAGAAATTATACCCCATGCTGCTTTTGTCATGCTTTGCAGCATCTCAAAGCCCCCATAGAAATCTTTGGCCTTATTTAGACTTGCTTTACTGTCAGAAGTGTGATATGTTTCGGATCACTTTTATGACAGCAATAGACACCCCCTGTTTTAACCTCCTAATTACTGGACTACCATGCTGCGGCTGCAACATGACCCTGTACACTCATCTAATACCTCAGGAGCAACAGGGGGAGCTGCTGAGGGGCGGTAAAAAACATGGCTGAACCGCAGGATTTTATTGCCAATTGCAAGTGTAAACAAGACCTAGGATAGCTCTCCCTAACCTCACCTGTAGTTGTTTGGGAGTGCCTTTTGAGCATTAGCTGTGCTTTGTATTCACGTTCAGTGTGGAGCAGCAGGAAAGTGAGTGGGGACTGGAGTGGGGGATCAGCAGATGTCACAAATAGTGTACAACATGGGAGTGATACAACAGGAAGGTGAGTGGGTTCTGGAGGGAGAACCTAGCGGGAATTTGAGCAACAGGTAATCAGCAGAGATCTGATCTGCAGAACAAACAGAGGATCAGAAGGAGACCAGCAGAGCAGAGTTTCAGGAGAACAGAGAATCAGTAGAGTGTGGGTGGGAGAAGGTAATGTGGGCAGGGGGGATTACTACTACTGACCAGGTAGAGAAGGGAGTGGGGGTGCTAGGCATTTGGGTGGATGTTACTAACTAGCGGGGAGGGGGATACTACTACTGAGGATGGTGATGGTGGGAAATGTACTACTGAGTGGAGGGAGTGATGGAATGATGTTCTGTTGAGGGGGGGGGGGGGGGTGGATATTTGGGAATGTTCTACTGAGCAAGGGGCTTCTACTGAGCAGGTAGGGTGATGGGGGAATGTACTACAGTGGATCTGCTGAGCCAGGGATCTTCTAAACCAGGGATGTCAAACTAGCGGCCCTCCAGCTGTTACAGAACTAGAAATCCCATCATGCCTCTGCCTTTGGGAGTCATGCTTGGAAATCTCAGCCTTGCAATGCCTTATAGTTTGGCAACAGCTGGAGGCCTGCCGGTTTGACACCCCTGTTCTAAACCATAGGTACTACTGAAGTTGTAATTGCTGAGTGGGGGATCTGACCCAGAAAACTGATGAGCTGAAGATCTGCTGAGCAGAGGTTCTAATAAGCCAGCAAACTGATGGGTGGGGTTACTACTGAGCCACCGAAAACACCAAAATAAAAAAAAGCAAAACACCAGATATCAAACCAACACCTAACCACACCTCAAATGTCGCGACTTCCTCATCATCACTTCCATTAAAAACAAATAGAAAGCCAGCACACACAGGGTATTTGCCAAGCTTCGTTAACGCTTAAAAAGCATAAAAAATGCATGCTAAAGTGGTAGGCACTGTAATGTGTGTTAATAATCAACACAAGTGTAAACTAGCCCTAAGACAGGGTACTGGGGTGGGGGGCTACAATATATTGTGTAACTGAATTGAAGATGGTTACACTTCAATTTATTTTGTCACCATTGCTGCCAGGATCTGCGTGTGTGTTTTCTAAGCTCTAGTGAATGTTGATTGATCTAGATTTTTTAGTTGTCATGATCCTTTCAAAAACCTGAAAGTGTATACTTTTTCTGAAAATTTCTAATCTATTTAACGTGAGATTTCAGTTTGTAAGTTCTATAGTCTGTGAGGCTTTTGTGTCTAGGTATAGTAGTACTTTAATACTGGCATCATATAAAAAAGTTTCAAAAGTCACCATATACAGTATATTTCTAAGAGCTGAAGAAATTTCTTTTAGAAATTTCAAGCGGGCCTTGTTGTTCAGTGTGGATTTTGATATATTATCTTTTGCTTCATAGACAGCTAACGGGGAAGTCTACTGTATATAAGAAACATCCTTAACAAGTTACAAAATATCTGCTGATTGTCCTTAAACATATGATACATTAGCTCTAGCCTCAGAAGTGTATAAGTATTCATAATATTCAGTGAAAACCACGCTGAAGCATGACATTTAGTATACAGTAGGTATTTTCATTATTATAAGTTACGGATGAGACCACTTGCAAATTCTTTGGAGTGCTGGCAATTTGGCAAGTTGAAAATGTATTATTTCTTTATAAAAATTGCATGTCAGTTTGCTTTTCTGTGATTTTTTTTCCCTTGAAGAATATGGTCTCTTTCACATGGTGCAGAATCTGCTTGATCAGTGGGTAATCTGTCCTCTGATCCTCCACTGAGCATAGCCTGCTTCGCTCTATGGGTGGTCAGATGTAAACGGAGAGGCTGCCTGTTTACACCCGACTGCCCTCTGATCCAATCCCCCCAGATGGAAGGAAACAGATCCCTTTTTAATTTTTTTTTATCGGATTGGAGGTAGGCGGGTGTAAATGGACACAAGTCTGCAGTGAGGGTAGGATACAATCAAGTGAAAGGGTCCTTGCTTCATAGCTGAAATTTCCTCATGTAATCAAGTTGATGCAGGAAATAGTGATGTTAAAAAAGCACATCATTGTATTTTTATAATCTCTCTCACCCTTTTAATTGGGCTTGTCTAATCATTTTTAATAAATAGTTCTAGTTGACATTGGATTACTGGGTTTAACAGAGGTTCTACTGTGTACATCTACTGAAGATTGCAGGGGAGTTCTTTTTTTTCGTCTAAGTCTGGCATAACTATTCCAAATTCCATCCTGTTCCAATGGCTCAATGAGACACTTGAACAAGAATTTGGTCATTTATGTACCCCTAGGAACAACAGTGAGTTTACAAGGAGGCAATTGACCATCTGCATGTAGCCAAAAATGTTTTTTCTACACCTCTGTAAAGATAAATTGTCAGTTGTTTTACTGGAGTGTTGTTGTGTCTTCCTATTGATAAATGTTTGAAAATTATTCAATAGACATTTTTGTTATAAAGTTTTACAAGGGTTTATATCCATATGCTGTGCGTGAATTCATTGTCCTAAGTACCGTATTTTCGCTCCATAAGATGCACTTTTCCCCCCCCAAAAAAGGGGGGAAAATGTCAGTGCGTCTTATGGAGCGAATATGGAGCGACCGGTCCGGTATTTCCGCTGCCGACACCATGTCAGAATACTGGGCCGGCCGCTCAACTCTTCTCTGCTGCAGGACCTTACCTGATCCTCGGTCCAGCACTGTACAGTCTTCCCGCACTGGCATCTTTCTGACAGCCGGGTGCCCACTGCACATGCGCGAGATGCGCTGCACTTTGTGAATGGCCTGGCGTCTTCTGGGACCTGTCATGTGTCCCAGAAGACGCCGGGCCATTCACAAAGCGCAGCACTTCTTGCGCATGCGCAGTGGGCACCTGGCTATCACAGCCTGGAGCCCACACTAAAGAGAGGACAACTCCGCGGAAGTGAGAGCGGGTACTTGTCAAATTCAGGTACCCGCTCCCCCTCCCTCCCCAAAGGTCCATAGTCTCTGGTCATCTCCTGTACTGTCTGCAGTCTCTGGTCATCTCCTGTACTGTCTGCAGTCTCTGGTCATCTCCTGTACTGTCTGCAGTCTCTGGTCATCTGTTCTGTGTCCGCAGTCTCTGGTCATCTCCTGTACTGTCTGCAGTCTCTGGTCATCTCCTGTACTGTCTGCAGTCTCTGGTCATCTCCTGTACTGTGTCCGCAGTCTCTGGTCATCTCCTGTACTGTCTGCAGTCTCTGGTCATCTCCTGTACTGTCTGCAGTCTATGGTCATCTGTACTGTGTCCGCAGTCTCTGGTCATCCCCTGTACTGTCTGCAGTCTTTGGTCATCTCCTGTACTGTGTCCGCAGTCTCTGGTCATCTCCTGTACTATGTCTGCAGTCTCTGGTCATCTCCTGTACTACGTCTGCAGTCTCTGGTCATCTCCTGTACTATGTCCGCAGTCTCTGGTCATCTCCTGTACTATGTCCGCAGTCTCTGGTCATCTCCTGTACTGTGTCCACAGTCTCTGGTCATCTCCTGTACTACATCCGCAGTCTCTGGTCATCTCCTGTACTATGTCCACAGTCTCTGGTCATTTCCTGTACTATGTCCGCAGTCTCTGGTCATCTCCTGTACTGTCTCCGCAGTCTCTGGTCATCTCCTGTACTATGTCTGCAGTCCATTGGTTCAGAATATTTTTTGTCTTGTTTTTCTCCTCTAAAACCTAGGTGTGTCTTATGGAGCAAAAAATACGGTATTTAAAAGGACATAGACCACATTCAGTTAATGCTGATAATGATCTGAATCATACAGTATATTCACATTTTTGTGACCCCAAATACAGACCCTTTTTTAATATTCAGATATTAGATATCTATAGGCATAAAAACCCTGTTGTCTTAAACTATTCTCTACCCTAATGCACATTGTCGTTGTGCCAATAAAAATGGAGACAAACGTGCAATGCACTGAATGTACTTAATGAGCCTGAACTGTAAAAATGTGAGTTTGAATCAAATTGATATCACTTCTTGAACTTCCAGAGCTCTTAAAGTTAAAGTGGGCTTTTATAGTAAATATATTAGGAAATGCTGGAGTAGGTGAGGGGAAGGGGCACAGCAATAATAAAACACTATATTCAAAAAGTGACCATAAAAAGTGAGTAAAGATCAGATTGAACCTTGTTCTACACTACAGCAATGCATGCAGCTTCACAGGCGTCCCATCCTACTCTATGCCATATTAACATGTTGTCTTCTCAATGACCCAATCATTGTCATTACCTGATTGCAGTTAGTATAATTGTTTAAATCTACTCTGGTGTCAGAACTGTTCAGTGAGTGTCCTCCCAGTCTAAGCCACTCAACTGCCTGCAGAGTGCCATTGCTTTGAACCAGTGTGACAATGGGCTCTGTTGCATTAATGTAGACTTGGATGCAGGGTCATGGTGTGTGCTAATAGGCTGTTGCAGGCAAGGGTTTAAGAGGGTGTAGAACTTGTTGAGGTTGAAATTTGCTTTATTGTGAGATCTTAGGTGTCCAGCAACTCTGAAAAACCTTTTGAGGAGTGGCACCTTCTGTGCATATTGGTAAATCTGGCCCTGACAGCTTTACCTTCTTAATTTTTGCAATTTCTGGGAACTCCATCGTTTTTTATTACCTGCCACGTATTCTATTTTGTTTCCATATACATAAATCCTTGCCTCTAGTTATCTCATGTCTACCTTTGTATTCCCATGTATTCATTGTCCTTTCCTGGATGGTCTCTCTTCTAAAGTCTGGTGCACATGGGCCGAATATCGGCTGTTTCAACAGAAACCGGCAAAATTCAGCCCTTGTGTATAGCAGCCTGTCCGCCAGAAGCCGACTGAATGTCCGGCTTCTAAAGAACAGTCCGGCTTCTGAAGAACAGGCATGCTAGAAAAATATCTGCCTATCTGCATTCGATCAGCACTCACAGTCAATGGCTGCGAGCACTGACCAGTGTGTTCTAGCAGGGGGGCAGTACTAACATTGCAGTGCTAGTAGAGAGACCTCCTCGCTAGCTCCTCAGTTTTTTTTTTTGTTCAGCCTAGCGGGACTCATAGTGTGGGCATAACCCTCCAAGCAGATTTTCTTAACTACGGTATGTAGGCATGTTGTTTTTTTTTGTTTTGTTTTTGAAGAGATGAGTTTACCATTGAACATTGTTATCAAGGTTGTAGGCTGAACGCACTGAAATCCTGTAAGAGGTATTTGAATAAGCAAGAAATAGCATGGTTTGTTTTCTGTAGCTATTGCACATATGGCTGCAAACTAAGGTACTTACGTCATACGATATTGCCAAGCATAAGACTTTATGTTTTCAGATGTTCAACCTCTTACAGAAATCATTTGATGTGTATTCACTTTTCTCAAAGTTCCTCTAATTGTGCATTTTGCATATTATTAGTCACCAGGACTTCTTACAAGTACAAAACTGGACAGTTTCCTTCTTGACACCCTTATACAAATGCTAAATGTTTTAACATCCTAATTTAAATACATTTTCTATCCTGTAAGTTCATATGTGGGAATGACACAACAAATGACACAATGCAAAACAAAGTAATCCACCATAGTGTCCCACTGACCCTGGCCATTGATTTGAGGTATATATTGCTACCTCTAACACCAGCAATTTGCAATATATTTTTCTCCTGATGAGACCAATGATTTCGGGTTTATTTGACCTTTACCAGCACCATCGATTGGGCTTATTTTATCCCATGATAAAAAAAACTCAGAAAATGGGGAGTATGTTGTTCCCAATGCAGGACTTATCATATCCCACTGACACCAGTGATAGGGTTTATTCTATGTCTATTGATGTGGGGTCAGTTGGAGTAATGCTTAAGCCCATCCTTGGTGTTTGTGGGTATAAAATAAGCCCCATTGTCCTGTCAGTCTGATAAAATAAGCCCCATGATCGGCTAGTAAGTGGATCCGATAGTAAGTGAGCAGGTTTTATTGAGGGTGAGAGGCAAAAGTAAAGCACATCAGGCCTGGAGAGGTTAGTGGGAGGGGAGAGTAAACCACATCAGTAGTGGAACAGTGGATGGGAGCAGTGTCCTGGAGTTGTGGTTGGGTGGGTGTTCTGGAGGACAAGAGCAGTGGTCGGGGGGGGGGGGGGGTCTGTTTGACCACAGATGCTGAGGAAGGAGAACTTCCGCATTCTGCCAGTGGCTGTGGCATCCTGCAGTTTGCTCAGGATATATACCAGGAAGATGAGGAGGAGTTTTCTATAGAAGAAATTGGAGGCTGCAGTGAGGTTTGCTCTATAACACAGGACAGCTTTTTCATTTCTGCAACAGAGGTACATTATAAGTATATTAGTACATCGGGAATGTGTACTTTATGAAAAAAGGGTGAACTTTAATAAAAGCTTCAAGCCTTTAATAAAACTTCAAGTCCCACTTGACATGACATGACATGTCCCACTGACATCAATGATTTTGGCTCATTTTCTTCCCATTGACACCAATGATAGGACTTACTTTATTCCACTGACACCAATGATAGGGCTTTTTTTTACTTGTGCTCACACCAACAATGGGGCTTGATTTGTCTAGGGCTGGTTCAAACCAGATACAATCCAGTGTATTTTTATCTGTATGGAAGGGATCTGGAACATGGAAAATCGAATCAAAAATGCAGCAAAACACATCAGAACACACATGCCCTGAATTGAGATGAAGAAGAAAAAAACATCAGAAATGCACATGCAGAAACGCATCTGGAATGCAGAAATTGTGGTGTGAACCCGTCCTAATACTTGTCCAAAATGTTTGAGAATACAAGTCCTTACCTACTTTTGATAACACCTCTATTTGAGCTGAAAGAACAAAAATGAAATTATATTGCAATTATGCAGCTTACTTGTCCTTAGAAATAATGGCTTTTTAGGATTTCTCTTAATTTTCACCTGGTGATCCTGCCAGTAACACTCTTCTTGTCCTTGCATGTCAACACAAGCACACTATTTTTGAAGGAACAGCGTTGTCACACTATGACAGAAGTGTAGCATTACCCTCTTAAGAGCCTCTGAGTATTTTTGAGTTCCCTGTTTGTTGTGAGCCTGTTTTGAAGTACAGCCCCTGCTGACACCACCGTGAAACCTTGACCAGAAGGACTCCCTGGCTTTGAATCATAAAATAAACACATAGTTTACAGTGATAAAATATTGTAATTGTATTGAGGTCAGAGTATAAGGAGTACAAGCACAACAAGGATGACAGTAGATGTGCATAAAAAAAATTAAAAACTCTGAAAGGTTTAACAAAGTAATAAAGCACAGTATCACTTTAAGCAAACCCAAATGCCCTGCAGGATCAACATTTAAACATCAGTTCCAGCTTATGAGATATTTCTCCCCAAGTGAGCTGAAGTGGACTATCAAGATGCTAGGCTAACTCACTTTTGGTTTTTCAATAGCTAGGCACTGGGTTAACTTTTGAGATTAATCTTCTTTTTATAAGTAATAATGTCCCCTTTTGTATCTCATAAAAGAATAATGAAAAATCTCCTGCATGCTTTATGGGGCCCTAGTTGTTGCACGTTAAGGTTAAGATCCCTTTTTGTGTGAAAGCAAGATTTCCTTAAGATGGTATAGCAACAGTAAGATTCCCCTTTGAGTGATGTTGAACTGGGTAAGGTCTCTTTAACACAAGAGACAAAGGCAACAATTGGCTAAAATTGAAGAAAAGGGCAGAAGCAGACTTCAGCAGAGGTTGAACCCCTAAGGGTGGTAAACTAGTCTGGTGAAGCAAGTCCCTCTGAAGCTGGAAGAGGCTTGAAATGAGATACCAGTGTAATCCTGTCTGCAGGGGGGCATGTGCTGCAGCTAGAGTCCTGTGGTTTCAGAATAATAGGGAGACACTAATGCAGTAGGACGCAGTGCTGAATGGGATAGGCAATATGTGTCTCAGTGTGATGATCTGTAGTGTAAAGTGTACTAAACTGAATAGTTGAAAATAACACAGTCACTTGAAAATTGTGATGATATGGGATATGGAACCCTCTTACCCGATTTGTAGTATTTGCAACTAGAGCAGTATTCACTCTGTGGGGGGCCCCTGTATTCTCGTGATCTCTCTGTTAAGAAGCGATGCCGATGGCAGCACTAAATCAACCTGTCTGCAGGATTGACTGTCCTACTTGTCAGAAATACCAGCAGTCTGCAGTCCCTCTTTCCTTCTCTGCAAGGTGGACCAATCCAGCCTGGATACCTTGAGTCCTGAACGGCCTTCTTCACACACACACGTTCTCCACCTCTCAACATCTACTTCCTTCCTGTAAAGTTCCCAGGCTTCTCAATATATACACTCCCGCCCCTCCTCCAGCTCTTCTGGGAAATGTAGTCTGTTCACTGCTTGTCTGAGTGCAGAAGTCCTGCTACCAGTATGTAGGTTCTACAAGGCTTTGCTTCAACAAGGCTTTGCTTCAATAACGTCTGAATAGCTGAACTGCAGAACACTACCATCTTGTGGTTAATTAACCGCTTTGCGTCGGTACCTTTAAATGGTTTTTGATGCTGGGGGGCGGGTTTAGGGTC